CCAGGCTTGCTCCTCCTGCCTCACCGAGCTGGTGCTAAACAAACAGGCCAATATTTCATTGCACGGAGACAGCAGGTACCAAGCTAAATGGGACGTGCTGATCTCACATCTGCTGCCTTAATGCATTTACACGCTGTTTTCTTAATTTTTTTTTCCCCGGTAATGACTAATGAGGGCTGCCTGGGGGTCTTATCCCCCTTTGCCAGCTGATTTCAGCCAGTCCGGGCTCCGAGAAGCACACAGCAGCTGTCGTTTCATTTAGGGAAGGGAGGAGAACAAATATTGGACGTGATCCCCCACCCTTCCCCTTGGGTTTTCAGTTGGGACTGGCAGATGCAAGGCCGGGGCTGGTGGGGAGAGCTGCTGTGCTTAGCAAAGTGGCTGCAGGTTATTTGCACATCAAAAGCAGCTTTGCCTCCTGCCCTCCCTCCGCAAGGTGGCTTGATTTAATTGCATTTTCCAGGCGACTCTGGTCTTGTCTGCTGAGATTTTAGGTGTGATTCAGCCCCCCATAGCCAGACTCGCACGCAGTTGCGCTGGTGTATTAAGAAAAGATGCAAATCGACTTTGTCTTGGAGCTCATTTGTGTCCCTTGATTGCTGTAACAACTCGCCTTCTGTTTGAGGCCGGTTAGCACCAGGGCAGCTGCACAAGTGGCTCAATTCAGAGTGAAGATGAAGCAGGAACCGCAGATGAAGCATCATCCCTGATAGGTGCTGGAGCCGAGTCCTGCTCCTCGTGCTTAGCAGCGCTACAAAGAGCAGGTAATGCCCTGTAATGCTGAGAATTCGACTCCTAGAGCATGCTCTGAGCAACACCTGCTTAGAGGACACAGCTTTTCCTGCTCATTAGCTTCTTCAGGGTTGATTTGACAATGAGCTCTGCTCCCTCCAGCTCTCTCCTGCTTTCTCCGTGCTGCTTGTGCTGTCACTCTGCTCCCTCCTCGAGTGGCATCGCTAATTGCCCGTTAGCTCGTTAAAGTGAAGCTGTCCCGAGAGCCCTTGAGCCCTCCTCGAGGGCCCTGCTCGCTGTTGTCCTGCGAGGTGCTTCCTCCCATCTAATCGTGGGGCAAGTGGGGTGTTTGCCCTGAGGAAAAGCAATGAGCAGATGAAGAGGGCTTTAAAAACTGATTAAAAAACCACCGTGTTTTGGTGCAAAAGGGGCATGAGTGGACAGCCCGTGAGGGATGCAATAATCCGCTTGCTGTGGTGAGTTCCCCTGCATTGCCACCTCGGTGTCCTCTCTATTTTGGCTGACCCTGGGACAGGGACACTCCTTGTGATAGCTCAGGATAACAGCCAGACCAAGAGCCTTCCTTGCCCTTTCTTGTCCTGATCCAAATACACATATAGGCCTAGGAAAAGCTGGACTGGGCTCGGCCAAGCAGGTGGAAAAGCAGCCGAGCGGAGGTGACAGTCAGAGGTATTTTGTAACAGAAGGTGCATTGAGAAAAAAGGAGAGATCTCGCACGTGGTTTTCTTTCTCCTTCCTCCTCAGCAGCTTCCAAAGACTCTAAAAATAAACCTCCCTCATGCCTCAGGCAGCGTGAGCAGAGCCAAGATTTCCCTGGAAAGTGTCGGCAGGAGCAGGTACCTGCTGCTTGTTCCTTGCTGCGCGGGGGCTCGGGATCTCCGCCCTGGGAGCTGGGGTGATTTGCAGGGATGCAACATATTCCCCTGTGAATGTTCCCCAGATTTCCTCCCTGTTCCTCAGCCTCCTCCCTGGAATAGGGCTGCCTGGGAGCTGCCTCCACGTGCTGCTAGCAACGGATTGCAGCAAGGAAAGTGTCCCCTTGCTTTTGGTGCTGGGAATACATATTGCTTCCCCTGTCGTTTCTTATGCAGACACTGAAGTCCCAATTACCTTCAATTGGAAGGAATGGGGTGGTCCTCCACGCTGAGGACCACGAGGATGCTCTGCAGAGCCTGTGCCTGCCCCGCTCGGGGCTCCCCCTTTCACTGCTGCCGTCGCTCCCCGTTCAGCCCTGCCAGATCCCCGTGGTGCAAACGGGCTCCGGGTGGATCTGCTTTAGTGGGGGGAGCTGCCTGTTTAATAGTCAAAACACGTCCCGGGCTTTTGTGAGGATGTTTCCATTGTAGCTCTCGCTCCGTAATCGTTTTCCATGCTCTGCCTGGCTGTTGGGAGGAGGTGGCAGCTCCAGGGGACAGGGGTGAGGAAGGGACTGCGATAAAAAGGGCTCTGCGGAGCCGGGAGGGCGAAGCCGGTGGCACGCGGGGCCAGGCCGATATCTCCCTTTCCCCGATACCCCCGTGTGCGCTCCAGGCAAGCCGCCTGTTCTGCCGTGCATGGGTTATCCCGGCTGCAAAGCCGAGATAAGGGCGCTCATCCCCATCGCGCCGCGCTCGCTGGCCGGGAACAAACAGGGCCAGGTGGAACCGGGTCCCCGAAGGGACCTCGGCTTGCGTGGCGATAACGCCGTGGCCTTGACGGGCGCGTGGGGATCGCTGCGTGAGGGCGGCAATGCCATGCCCAGGGCAGAGCTGCCCTGTTTTGGCTGCTTTTATTTGTTTTGAAGCATTTCTGCTGCTCATGAGCACTGTGCAGTGGCAGATGGGGCCGGGCTGCGGAATGGCCCTGGGGGGACATCCTCAAAAGCAGAGGGATGTGAACAGAGAGGTGCAGCATCTGCCACAGGCCGTGACCACAAGCTGGTTTGCAGGGAGCAGAGGCTAAAAGAGTCAATGAACGGGGTGTCCCGGGGCCCTGGCGCTTGCAATTAGGCCACAAGCCAAATTGCAGAGATTCCCTGCACAGCCGGAGTCCCTGGGGAGGTGACACCAGGTCCCAGCTCCTTGCAGCTCATATCGCTCTCAGAGCGCAAAGTAAGTTTTAAAAAATTTATTTATATATAAAAACATAAAATTACCAGTAGTTTGCATCAGTCACCAGAAGTAACATCCAAAAAACTTGCAGAAAAATAATTATATGTACAGGCTGAACCCTGGCCTCCCGTGGCGCGGGGCAGGGCAGCCGTTACTCACACCAAGGAATGACACATCTGCGATGCATACGGTCAAACACAGCGTTGTGCAAAGGCAGCAAGTCAACGTCTCCAGTCGATCACGTTGTACAGCGCTTGGTGGGGAGGATACGGGGCTGGAATCGCACGGGGGCCCTCGGAGTTGATGGGAGCCAAGGCCACTGGCTTCCCGGACAAGGCGGGAACAGGAGTGGGAAGCCTGGGAAGGCTGGTGCCTCGTGAGGAGCTGTGGAAAAGGGGCAGGTGGGAAGAGCTCTGCTCCCTTCTGCACCTCTCGTTTATTCGATGCTTTGGAGCTTCCAATAACTGTGTGTGAACACAGGATGGGGAGGAGGATACAGAACCACTCGGGGCAGGTCTATGGCTTGGATGATGCAGAAAATCCCTTTTGGTCTCTCCAGTCAGAGCCGAGTCAACGCCGTCTCCCCTTGGGACACACAGGAGAGCTGTTTGCCACCCCCTGATCCTGGTCCTCCGAAACCAGCAGCTTTTGGCAAAGGCTGGGGCTGCTCCCCTGCGTTGTGGCTTGCAGGAAAAGCGACCAGAAATACCCCTGGCCTGGAAGCCACGTTGGGGAGGATGGCTCGGGATGGGCTGGTGCCATGGGCCCAGCCAGGGGTGCCCGAGCAGGGATTGCTCACGGGGAGGCTCCAAAGGCACAGACTGTTTTCCAAGTTCGCCAATGGGAAGGGAAGCGGCTGCTCCAGGGTCCCCGGCAAGCGCAGGCTCCGCTGGGGCCTTTTCCTTCCCTTGCTCCCAGCTGGAGGCTGTTTTGAAGAGCGAGGCTAGAAAAGAAAATGGGAGAATTTTCTCTTCCCAGCTCCTGTCAACAGCCGTGACGGGAGCCCGCAGGCTTAATGGCATGGGAGGAAATAAGGCAGTCAGCTTGAGCGAGCGCGTGGGAGGGCGTCACGGCGCGACAGCGCGCGGGGTCACTGCCCGCGCCGGGGCCCTTCTTGGGGCAAAAACCATTGATTTCCCTCTTGATTCTTCAGGGCTGCCTGTAGTTTGGAAATCTCTGTTAATCCTTAAATCCAGCTGGAGAATGGGGAGGTAACGTCCTTGTCCTTCCGAGATGGGACGGCAGCAGCGGCACGCGTCATGGTGCGTATCCTGGCCTCGCGGGAGGGAAGTGCTGGTGCAGTGGTAGGTGAGGGGTAGGAAACCTGCTGGATTCAGCACGGGGTCGTTAGTGCAAGGCAGTTCCGACATGGCTAATTTGCAGTAACGAGACAGGAACCTGCTGGCAGGTTCTGGCTCAGCCTGGGGCAGGAGTTACTGTTGTGATGAACTGGAAGGGAAAAGAGCCTGGGTTTTTGGTTGCTGCAACTCTGAAAAGATAAGGAGAAGGTGGAAAGCAATCAAATTGGGATTTTCTAAGGGGAAAAAATGCTGATTTGTGTCTGCTTACATTCTTGCTGTTCAACTTCATGAAGTTGAAAGGAGTTTGTTTCCCAAGAGGCACCTTTTTGAAACCCAGGTCTCTTTTCGGGTATCTTGGAGTGATCTCTTAATAGTCCCTTGTCCTTTTAGAAGATGGTGCTTTTCAGTGGTATGCGCTGGTGGGGAGGAAAGCTGAGAGTCAACCTTACAAATCTAAGGTTGTTACCTCTCCATAGTCTTGAATCAGTGTGTGGGGTCATTCCTGAGGCACTCTAGGATAGTGGGAGGGATGAGGAAGCGGAGCAGGATTTCTTGCCTGGGTCAGCAGCATGGTACAAATCCTCTTGCTCCTTATGGGCTGGTTCCTTGGCTACCACTGCTCTCTGGAAGTCAAAATCAGCTGGAGAAAGAGAAATAAATGTCAGAGCAGCGTAGTGTTTTCTCCAGGCCGTGGGCCAGGGACCAGTGGTAGAAGTGAGGTGGTGTTTATACCTTAAACAAGGTAGGAAAGGCTGTGGCCAGAGCTGTGCTACTCACAGGTTCTCTCTGAACCAACGTTCATTGCTCTGGCGTTCACCCAGGGGAGTTTTGCATCATCTTCTAACCTAGGATTTTGTGTTTGCTGAAGTCCTGTTCCCTTATTGCCCTTATCTCTGTCTTCTCAGTCCTCCAAGCGAGCAGAAGGCATCCTGCTGAGGATGCGTCGGACACGAGGGGCAGGTGCTGGGCACGTCACCATTGGCATGAATTGCTTGTTCACCTCTGTAACACGACAGGCAGCGCAGGGCACCGTCACGGTGCAACACTGGGACGGGAGGAGGGCTTGGGAGCTGGCCAGGCCATCAGCTCCGCTAATAAATACATCTGAACTGTACAGGGTGCACCCAGCATGGACTGAGCCGCAAGGAAGTCCTTCTTGCCTGGAAGAAACGTCTGTCTGCGAGGAGGAGAGCGAAGGCCCGGGTCAGATCTCAGTGGCAATGATGTCTTCATAGGGGACATCGGCACCGGGTATGTCCAACTCGATGGGTTCCTTGCCATCTTCCCCTGAGGCGAGCTGCTGGAGCATCTTCTCCAGGTTCTGGTTCCTTTTGTACATGTGCAGGTAGCTCTGTTGCAGCTGCTTCTGGTAATGAATCACCTTCTCCTTTTCCTCCTTCCACGTCTGCCGCTCGTGCTGGAAGCTGGAGGTCATCTGCTCGTTGTTGTCCCGCTCGGCCTTCAGCTCTGCCTTCAGCCTCTCCACCTCTCCCTGCAGGACCTGTGTGTCATCCACCATCCCCAGGGCTGGGCTGGAGGCAGACCTGGCCCTGTCCCAGCTTTCCTTCAGCTGCTCCTTGAGGATGGAGAGCTCCGTTCGGAGGTCCACGATCTCTTGCTCCAGCAGGTTAACCTTCTCTCTCAAGAGTTCGGACTCGTTCTTCTTGCGCTGCAGCTCATTTTCACACACCTCCAACTCCATGGCCTTGGTGCGCAGAGAGTCCTCAAGATCCCGGGTTTTCATCTCCAGCCCTTCCATTTTAGCCCTCACCTCCTTCAACTGAGCTTTGAGGCTGAGGATCTCCGTGGTCTTGGTGTTGAGCTCAGTCTGGGATTCCTTCAGCTGCTGCTTCAAGAGGGAGATTTCGCCAGACTTCTGGCACACCTGCAGGGAGGGACAGGGCACCCACAGTTAGGGCTGCATCCCCAAATCCCAGCACTGCCAACAGCAGCCACAGCACAGCAGTGGCAAAAACCACCGTGCAGATCAGTCGTGCCGTGCAAGCGCATCCAGGGCACGCTTGGGCATCTGACTGCAGAGAACCTTGCTGAGAAATTGGCCCTGGCTGCAGCTTGCAACTGCCAGCTGCTGTTTACACCCTGCAGCTCATCCAAACCTTTCAGAGAAGCGCTCGAGCTAAGAGTGAGTACCTGAAGGGAGGCAGTGAGGAGGATGGTGCTGGTCTCTTTTCAGTGGTGGCCACCGACAGAACTAGAGGCAATGGCCACAAACTGAAGCACCAAAAGTTCCACAGGAACTTAAGGAAAAATTTTTTAACAGTGAGGGTGCCAGAGCACTGGAACAGGCTGCCCAGAGAGGTTGTGGAGTCTCCTTCTCTGGAGATCTTCAAACCCGCTTGGACGCAGCCCTGTGCCACGTGCTCTAGGTGACCCTGCGTGTGCAGGGGTTGGACTGGATGATCCCTAGAGGTCCCTTCCAACCTTCAGCATTCTATAATTCTATGATTCTATGAAGAGGGGGATAAACCTGTGCCACCAAAGCTCCCAGGGGGAGCGGGAAGTGACACCACGCTCTTCTATGGGGCCTCTCTTTGCAAGGACCTCTCCGCCCTAGAGAGAGGTTTGGTTGTGAAACAGCCATCAGGATTTAAGAAACTGGCACCCCGAGCTGCAGTGTGGAAATGGACTGTGTCAGGGGAGCTCTCTGTTTCAACACCCAGCACAACGTGTTTGCTGAAACCACTGCTCACATGGTCAGTTAAACTTGCTAAGCTTGTTTGGCAAGCAAACGCCCAACTAAAACACAGCAAAACTGGGAGCAAAGCATATAAATCCCATCGACAAATCCATCAGAGTCCCAAAGTGCTGCTGGATACGTGAACTCCCAGAGAGATTTTGGGGTATCCGCTTCCTGCCACTCTTGCTGAGGTGCTTGAGGCTGGAATTTTGGTAGGGTTCAGAAACCCGCGTGAAAAGAGAGCTCAGATTCATTTGGGAACATGCCCTGAGGGTTTGGGAGCAAATAAAATAGAAATACTGAAAATTAGATAATAAATCCTTGATGAGATGAAAGAGAGCAAAGGTAAATATCGTGCTTCCGTAAATACATTAGACAATGGCTATACTTCGTGCAGTTGCAATGAAATTATATCCGTTTTATTCATGTGGGTGAGCAGACTCGCTTCTGCACTTTCAGCACTTTAACTCTTTGTTCAGGGACACCCAATCAGCAAGAATATTAAGTATGAGCATGGAAGGTTCTACTGCTCTGTAAGTAATGGACAAGACAAGTCCAAGTAGCTCTTATTTACATGCAGGAAGGCAGCTTTCCTGCTCTGGGGGCAGCCAGCCTGAAGAAGCTGGCACAGGAGGTTGGAAATATTATTTTAATGACTGGATTTTTTTTTTTTAATGCAGTAGTTGTTTCCTTACGATGTGAGGTGCTAAGAGAGGCAGTGAGCCAATTGATAGTACCAAGAATCTAGAGCCTCCGTGTGACAGATGAGCTCTCCCTGGTTTAAATAGCCAGTGCCTGGGGCATGTTCCTGACTGCCTGCACTGCTGCTACTGGCTGCAGGTGCAGAAACAGCACTAAGGCACGTGGTTTTTATGCAGTTCTTGTGCTGCTGCCTTGTTCCATGCACACTCTTTGCAAATTTTTGGCATTTGCAGTAACGCTGTCCTCTTATGCACGCTAGTGACGCTTACCTCCCACTGAGTCTCCTCCAGTGCTGGAGCAAAACTGGTCTTCTCCTTCTCGTAGGACCTCAGCTTGGTCTCCAGCAGGTTTTGCTCTTTCATGAGGTTCTCCAGCTCCTCGCGGAGCTGTTTCTTCTCCTGCTGCAGCTGGAACACCTGCAGGTGAAGGACTTGCTGCGTCCGCTGGGTTTTCTGTGAGGTTTGCTTTAGCTTGCTGTTGCATTTCTGCTTGAGGCCCTCCAGCTCCTCTTTGCAGCGCCGCTGCTTCTCTTCATAAACCTGGCAGGAGCTGACTTCCTTCTCCTCAAAGCTCGACTGAAGCTCCTGCAGCTCTCCCTCCCTCTCTAGCAGCTTTTGCTCCAGCTCCTGGATGGTGGACTCATCCGTGGAGATGGGTGATCGGATGCAAGTGGTCTTCTCCGAGGCATGGTGGGCTTTGCCAGGGTTGATGATCTTGTTGCCCCCGTCGGAGAAGGACATCGCCTTCAGGCTCATCATGTTGCTGTCTTGGATGACCGCGCACTGCGTGATGTTGTGGGCTGAGCCCCCAAAGCGGTTGATGGGTCCCATGGGGGTGACCAGTGGGTCCAGCTGGTAGCTGCTGCTGGTGCTGTGGGTCGGGAGGCTGGACATGGAGTTCCTGCCGGAGTCGGAGAGCCCTCCGGAATACAGCACCGGCTTGAGCTCCTGCTCCTTTGCCTTGTCCGGAGCGTGCAGCTGCTGGGAGATGTGGCTGCTGTCTTCCAGGGAGGAGTGGAGGATGGCACCGGAGCGGGGCAGCACCGGCTTGAAGGCCGTCGGCCTCGTAGTGCTCTTCTCTGCACCCTGGGGACAAGAGAAGAGCTGGTCAGCACCCAAGACTGGCATCACTTAAACTGACCGGACTTGAACGTGCATCACTGGAATTGCAAGTATGTGGACTACGCTGCCGACCCAAATCCCAAAGGGAAAGGGCTGGCAGGAAGCCCTCAGCACCTCCCCACTGTCCCTCTTCTCCCATTTCCCCGGCACCAGCTCTTTTCTTGGAGCCTATTCCTGGAGCGGGATCAGCACCCATGCCAAGGCAAGGGGCATCAGAGTGGACACCAGCCCCAAGCAGTGGCTGTGGGAGAGGAA